TCAACTAAAATCCTTTCTGGTTCTAATATTTTTCTAAATCGAGTAACTATACAAGTGAAGATATATTGATCCGGAGATGGTATCAGGTACAGTGAGTGCTCGAAAACAATAAATGCCTATGAAACATAAAAGCCATAGCGGTTTTTTAGCTTATAAACTTCAATTATTTTCACTTTCAGTTATCATTGTAATTGCTGATTCATATAACTCTAGTTTTCTCCACTTCCAATTACTTCAATAAGTGAATTATTACATTTTAATAAATTGTGAATTGCCCGGAACAAACAAAGTCAATTTTTAAGCTTTACTTTTTTAAATGATCTCTTGTGCTCTTCGGTGAGCTTTTTCTTGATTTGATAGACTGAAAATTGCTATCATACAGTCAAAATTCCACATAAAGTCAATCAGACAAGTTGATATTTTATTTCCAAAAATTTCTCGCTGTATTCATCAATTTCAAGTATGAAACAAAATGTTAACGAAGTATTAACCGTTTTTGTTAAGTAATCATTTTTCATCGTTTTCATTACTATTACATTACTGATTATTGATCGTTATCTTATCATTGCTGTCATACTATCAATATTCTTCGTTATCACTACATCATTATTATGTTGTAGAAAGTATAATATCTTCTGAATTTATGAAATGATAAATGAGAAGTTGCGAATCGTTGCGACAAATGAAAGACAATTCGTTTAATAACAAAATTTCGATCCCTGTTTATAATTTGTTAAGAGATAAAAATGATTAAACATGTTGATATTACGAACACACGCAATTCAATATTGATAAAACAATTTATAAACTGATCATTTCAAATGAATATTTCTTTTCACTCATTAACATTAATTCTATTGTTCAAAATTTTTAAACAATTCTGAATAGGAATTCATTTTCAGACATTTAAAATTTTTGTGTTTTAGAATTTTTATTATTTATTTCAGAACACCAATGATGCAATCATTGATAATATATTCCGAATATATTAGTAATAGTAATATAATTTATTCATTCTATTCACGTTGTACAGGGCTAGTCATTTTGCGTTAAATTCCAAGTAAATTAATGTGACATTCAATACTTTCTACAGTACCATCAAATAACATTGTCTTCAAGATCGTACAGTTTGCTTCTCTCGTTTATTTACTTCACGATATGCACGATAACTGATACCTTTACGAATTGATTTGTTGTAAAATCGACGAGCTTGTGAAAGCTAAAATTGAATTAATTCAAAAAAAAAACAAAAATACTATTTAGATTCTTCAACTTGCAATTTTGACAATAATTTCTAAGTTAGAAATGCAAAAAAAAAAATTTGCTATTTTTTTATGGTAATGAAAACATACCGTATTTGCTCCAAATATTACATAGCTAGAATTGACTTGGCCTACTGATTTCTCTAAAATTAATTATAAACTTTTTTTCTCGAATTTTATTTGCAATCATATTTTGTAGGAAATATATACATTCTCAAATAATTCAGGATATTTTTTAAAATTTTACCAAATTTGTAACATTCAAATTGAAATTTTGTTGTAATTTTAATTTTTCTTCAAATCATACTTGAAACACAATAGCTGCCATAATTTCTGAAGCGTCCAGTAACATTTTTTAAGAATGTAATTTCCAGGATACGATCTCCTAAAAGCCTAACATTTGTGGCATCACATTCCAGTTCTTGACATTTTTGCGTTATTGAAATGATTGTTCCATTTCGTAAATAACCCAATACCCTACCTGTACAGGTCTGAAAAATAATATTACTAAATTTGAAAATTCACAGGAACTGAAAATTCAGTAGTGGATTTAGTAATTATGATTTGTGATAAGTGATATACCTGATGGCGATACGTTGTATAAAAACTATTCTCATAATCAATCCATTCTGTTACATTATTCAATCCTTTCGTTCTATCAAATGTACGACCAAGTAATTTATCATTTCTTCTTGTCCAACCGCTCGATGAAACTTCTTTAAATGTCTGAAATTTATTATTCTCTCAATTGAAATAATAAATTCTCATATTAGAAAATTTTCGTAGTGCCATTTAAGATAACATATAATAAGATGAAATGAAATAAAAAAATTTGTTCGTTTAATTTTAGTTTCAAAAACTTCTACGAAAAAAAAAAATTCTCAAAATTAAGATTCAAATTCTGAAACAATTTTTACATGCAATTAACATATGAAATTTTATAGTAAATTTTCTTAATTTACCGGCTTTCCAAATGCTGCTTTAATATTTTGGCCAATATATTTTTCTCTTCCAATTAAACTGTCATCTATTCCTTTTTGTGACGTATTTTCATCAGTTTTAGAACTAAAAAAAAACAAAAACAGATAATTAATTTTTCTGGGAATAGAGAATTTATCACGTAATCTGTTTACTCATAAGTATTGATTTAAATCACTTTCAACTTTAAAAATATGCAAATGAATCTTAAGATGCAAATAGTACTTTTAGGAATTAATTTAATTTAAGTTCCTAATTAATTAATACCATGCAGTTCTAAATTTGTCCTTTTTTTTTTACTTTAATTACAATAATGATCTTAAAAGAAAAAATAGCTCAATTTAATCACACAATAATTTTAAAAGAAAAAATGACTTCCTTAATAGTTCTAATCCAGAATGTGAAAAATATGTTGTACGAAAAATATTTTGTGGAAAATTAAATTTTCCAAATGGTAACAAATTTAAGTTTCTGATTAATTAATACCATACATTTCTAAATTTGTTCAAAAAATCTGCTTAGCTAAAATATCCAAAACAAATTATAAACTGTTATTTTTCAAAATTATATTCAAAAAAGAACCAATGATCAGTTTTAAAAATTCGAAAAAATTGGAAAAAAAAAACAAACCTTTGATATTTTTGCAACAGTTTATTGCTGTTGTGATCATTTTCTTTTAGCACAGTTACAGAATGATTGATATTTGAAGGAGGAGCTTTGGAGGATTTCAAATTTTGAAGCGGTTCTGCTCGATGAATTATTTTAATACTACTCTTCACAGTTGGTATATTTATTCCTTTCATATTTAAATTGGAATTAGCTCCAAATTCTTTAGCATTTAAAGCATGTGCTTTCATTCCAGTACTATTTTTTTTGACATTTTCCAATCCATCATTGAAATGTGATGAAATCGGGCTTGTCAATAATGCAATACATTTGATGGGGATATTTTCATGATTTCCAGATTCATTGATAATTCTACGACATAATGATAGCTTTCTTTCATGGCGATTTTTAGGATCATCAAATGAATGTATCAAGTCGAGATTTTGATTAGCGGAACTATGACGTTGCAGTATAATTGCATTTTGATGATTCGTTTTGTCATTTATTGCAACACCCGTATTTGTCCCAAATGAAGTGATCATTTGTGCTGAATTAGCAGCTACAATCGAATGTTGTTGTTGATTGGGTAGAATGACAACATTTTGTGATGGTAATGTTGCATCATTAGGAATATCGGTATGTTGGAACCGTTTGCTTGCAATTTGATTAGCATCATTGATAAGCTCACCAAAACGCAAAAAAAAAAATAAATTACTTTCAATTATTGCAATAATCTAATTT